TGTTTGGGATTTTGTTGTGTTGTTTTGAGACAAGAGTTTCCCTCTGTCTGGGTCCCCTTCTGTCTCTCTTAGACAGGAGCTTTTCTTCCTTTCAATAAATTCTTTCTGCTCTTAACCTCGGTTGTTCCTAGAATTCATTCCTCAAGTTTAGAGAACATGAACTCGGTGTTTCAGACACCAAGCAGGCTGCGAGTTTCCTTCCCCTACATCAGTTCAGGCTGGCTTTCAGCTCACTGTGTAGCCCTGGCTGACCTCAAACTTACAGTGATCCTCCTATCTCGGCCTCCCAAATGCTGGAGTTATAGGTGTGTGCCACAACACCCAGCATTGGTTTTAGTTTTCTGAGACAGGATCTCAGTATGCTGTCTAGGCTCCTTTTTTATTGTTTTGTTTTGTTTTTTGTTTTTTTGAGACAGGATCTCACTTTGTAGTTCAGGGTGGTCTTGAACTCTTGATCATCTTCCTGCCTCAGCCTCTCAAGTGCTGGGATTACAGGCTTGCATCCTCACCCCAAGCCAGTTATGTGTAGTTCTTCACTTCCCTAGGATTAATTCCAAGGGTGCTATAGACTGGATGTTAATATCCTTTTAAAATTGTTATGGTGAATACTCTTAGGTGAAATAAATCGGACACACTTGTAAATACTGCATTGTTTTTCTGGTGTGAGAAACCGAAAGTGTAAATAAGGACCAAAACGTATAATAGATATTGTGAAATAGGAAGAAAATGTTCAAATGGGAAGGGGAACTGATATGGCAAGCGAGTTCATCAAGAAAGGCATTCACAAAACAAAAACAAAAACAAAAACAAACCAAAAAGCAGGAATAAACAAAGCTTTATTGGAGCTGGCTGACAGACAGTCTCTAACCAGGAGCCAGAGATGTCCATGCTGTTCTGGATCTCCGTCAGTTTAAGTACATTTTAGGTTTCTATAATAACCATTACCACATTTTTGGGAATCTTCCAAGAATGTCACACAGTTATCACAAAATTTACTTCTCCTAGAAGGTCAGACAATGAAATTTCAAATAACTATTGCAGTTTACCTTTTAGCCCACTTCCCAATTTGTCCTATTTCTTCTGTTCTCATTTTATGGCTCTGCTCTGTTCTGAGCTGATAACTAACCAAGGCGACTGGGGTGAACCATAGCTTACGTGAACTTTAAATCTGTAATCCAGCACTCTGGAGGCTGAGGCAGGAGGATCGTTATGAGTTCAAGACCAGCCTGGGCTACAAAGTGAGCTCAAGGCCAGCCTGAACTGCATAGCGAGACCCTGTCTCTAAAAGACAAAAAAAAAAAAAAAAAGTGAACTTTAAGTAAGTTCTCTTAATATGGAATTAAAAACAAAAAAATGGAGTCTCTCTTGCCTTACAGAACCAAGGAGGGGACAGTGGGAAAGGAAAGAAGGGAAAAGAAAAACAAATGGGAAAAGAAGGAAAATGGAAACAAAGCTTTGTAAATAAGGATGGGAAGAGGGGTTGTAGGGAAGCTAGGGTAATGGGGGAAAAAATCAAGTTATCTCATGTACAGGTACAAATTCCCTATGATGATTGTGATCATTATGTACACCTAAAATGTACCAATAAACTTAATAAAAAATTGTTATGGTGAAACCCTAATCCCCAGTGTGATGGTATTTGGGGATGAAGCCTTTGTGAAGTAACACTATATAGTTAAGCTAGCTTTGAACTCACTGTGTATCTCAGGCTGGCACCAAACACGTGGTGAAGCTACGGTGTTTTTTGAAGAGAAAATTAGACAAAAATATTGGATAGAAAAGTCCACCCCACAACTGGGCTCTATCAGGGGTAAGGCTGTTTGGGAGAAAAATGATAGTTTTTTTAAAACCACAAGATCTCTATTGATAATAGAATGAAGTTTCTGACTGTTGCTGATTAGCTGATAGTATCTGCCCTTACTATTTAGGTTAGTGCCAGGCAGATAGAGGTGGTTCATGCTATAAGCATGGAAAGCCCATTAAGACTGCAACTTTCAGGTTCCTGTTTCCTGTGGGTGTCCATTTTGGGATTATAGTAGCCCAAGTCTCTGCTGTTTGCTTGAGGTGTCCAATTTAGAATTCTTTTGTTTAGTCAGGTCTACACTAGAATCAGCAGGCCAGGTGGCCAATCAATGTACCCTGTGCTTCTCAGGCATGAAAAAACAAAAGAAAACAGTTGTTACTGGAGCCCAAAGAGGGGAATGGCATGACAGAACTGTAGCTTGCTGTAGAACACAGCCCACTTGTGGTAATGCAGCAGGAAGGGATCTGCCTACCTGGGTCCCATCTCTTTCACCACCCACTCTCTAACAAGAAGCTTCAAAAAGGATACTGTTGGACTGGAATACAGCTCAGAGGCACAGTGCCTTGCTTGGCAAGCGCAAGGTCCTGAGTTCAATTCCTGGTAAAAAAAAAAAAAAAGGCAAAAAGCATACTTTTGATGCATTTCACACAGGTAAGCTTCCTAGGGTGGAAGCAGTGTGGAGTCACATGTGTAAATATCATATTGTCTCCTTAGTGTAAGAAACTGAAAGAGTAAGATCCAAAAGGTACAAGAGACATTGTGAAAAGGAAGGAAACTACCCAAAAGTAAAGAACAACTGGTATGGGGGAAAGGAGAAAAGAAGGAAAGGGGGATAGAAAAAGGAGAAAAGGAAGAAAGGGAAATATATACATATATATATGGAAAATATATATCTGTATACACACACAAGGCAGCTAAGATGATTTTACTAGTAATTACTATTAGTTTATTGAAAGGAACAGTGCTTATATTGTTTGATCAATCTTAAATGCCTATATCTGGTAATCTGTGCAATTACTTTGAAGAGAACAATATGCAATATAATAACCATTGTTAATTTCCTATTATCCTGTTTTAAAATTCTCTTTAAAAAAAAAAAGTACATCTGGAGGTTCAAGTGGAAAATAAACATCAGAATGCCCTGTCAGATTGCTTTTATGATACCTGTTTTCATCTTCTTTCTCAATAGTTTGTAGACTTTTAGGGCTTTCCTCTCACAGGCCTTCTTTCCTCTTTCATAACTACTACAGGTGCCTTATTTTAGATGCTTTTTGCTTACTTCCTAGGCAAAAATAAAAAGATAGCTGGGAATAACAATTATCTGTTTTGAATTGAACCAGGATCCCCTGAAATTCATAGATTGAAGCTCTACCCTAATGTTTAATTTTCCAGCCTCCAAATGGTGTTTAACCATATTTAAGTTTTCATACGAGGCAGAGTCATAAAAGGAACTGTAAAGATGAGCCTTTAAGGAAGTCATCAACATTAAATGAAGTCATACGGATAGGACTTTAATAGGAATGGTGTCCTCAAAAGTGGAAAAGACCAGTGCTGTGTATATGTTTATGTGCCCATGTGTACATGCATGCACGCATACATGGAAGGTCATATAAATACATAGTGAGAGTGCAGCCATATAATAATTAAAGAGAACCAGGAGTGGTGGCGCACACCTGGAATCCCAGCACTCAGGAGACTGAGGCAGGAGGATTATTGGGAGTTTGAGACCAGCCTGGACTAGAAAGTGAGCTTAAGTCCAGGCGAACTGCATAGCTAGACCCTGTCTCAAAAAGACCAAAAAAAAAAAAAATTAAAGAAGCCTTAAGCAGAAACCAACTTCCAGCACCTTCAACTTGGACTTCCTCTCTCCAGAACCACAGGAAATAAATTGCTATTTAAGTCACCTATTCCTGTAATATTTTAGCCAACTGTGACATCGTTGTTCATAAACATTTCTGTTTTTATTTTCGGGTTACGTTCATCATCTAATATAACCTTCAATCCTGACAATCCTAGAAAGAACGTATTACTAACCCAATTGTCACAGAACAGAAAACTGAGGTACAGAGAGGTTATTAGGTTAGCCATGCTCATAAAATAATAACCTGCAAAGACTGTGGAAACTTGTGCCAGCTTGTCTTATTAAGTCATTACGGTGCTGATAGCACATTGAAATTAAATAAGCAGAGAGCTTTTATCTTGCCGGATGCATTGTTAAATATTAGCTATTATCTACACTCAACCCATGCATTTGCAGCTGATAGTTCCCTTGCCTGGAATATTCTTTTATCTCGCCATCTAATTTATCCCTTTTGCTTTTCCAAGATTCAATTCATCCTTCACATGTTTTAATGTTTATCATGCCCCCATCTCATGTATCTTCACTGTTTCCCAATGAAATTTCTTTATTACTCTAACTGCATCCATCACTAGATTTGAACAAATTAAAGAAGCGCTGCTATCTTTTCTTTTCTTTTTTGTCTTTTTGAGACAGGGTATCGCTATGCAGTTCAGGCTGGCCTCTAACATACAAAGATCCTCCTGCCTCAGCCTCCCGAGTGCTGGGATTACAAGCGTGCACCACCACGGCTGGCGATGGTGTCATTTGTTTTTTTAAAGTAAAATAAAATGATTAGTTTAGCAATGGAGAAGTTTTTTTCAGTTATTATTACAAACATTTTCCAATACGCAAATGGTGTCATCTTCTGGGCACCACTTTAGAATGACTGCATGAGGAACACTCCGATGTATGAGATCCATAAATAAAATAGCGCAATAGTCTGAGCCAAGTATGAAACAGGTCCATCTTCAAAGTCTTTCCAGAGACAGCTATACAGTATATATATAAATAAATGCTGGGGCTCAAATTCAAGGCTCTGTGCACGCCATGCAAGCGCCACACCCTCAGTCCACCTTTTGATCTTAAGCAGCTTTCGTGAGCCTCAAAAAAAATATATGGAATTTCCTTTTCGCTGTCTCATAGTAGGAAACTCCCGGGTGAAAGCTCGAGGTCTTAAAAGCCAGGAATAAGCGAATACTAGAGTCCCAAACTAAAACTGCACACGTGACTGCTACTCGTCTGCGCCTGCGCCACTCCGATAACGCGAGGCTCTTATGCCCAGGGTGGGACCATATTCCGCGTTTTGGGATTGGGCGGTGAAAACCCCAACGGGCGGCGCGGAAGTGACGTCGAGGTACGCAAGCGCGGTCGGCACTGCCGCGCGGTGGCTCCTGGGTGCCGCTCACCTTCGCTCCCCGCGCCTCTCCCCTCCTCCTGCCGTCCCCGCCCCCTCGCCGCTCCGCTGCCTGGCGTGACTCGGCACGGAGAGCCGCGGGAGGAGACGCGGCTGTCGCCAGCTCCTCTGTCCAGGCCTCGGCCTTGCTGAGCCTTTCCCCGTCCGCGCCCGGGTTTTCTTCTTCACTTGAGAAGCCGGAGCCGTCGCGGCCGCCCGAGCGGGCTCTGTGTGAGCATGGTGGGTGTGAAGCCGGTCGGGAGCGACCCGGATTTCCAGCCGGAGCTGAGCGGCGCGGGCTCCAGACTCGCCGTCGTCAAGTTCACCATGAGAGGGTGAGGCCGGGGCGAGCTCCGGGGCCCCGTCTGCCGGTCGCTGCTTTCCTTTCGCTTCTGCCGGCGCCCGGTCCGCTGGCCGCCTTCGGCCCCCGCGGCGCCCG